CAGAACTGTAAAGCTTTCATCCCATGCAGTTTCTACACTGATACAGATTTTACCCATCCATCTGAGCTGTTAAGTTTTTGTGCACTGAGTGTGAGACTCACAGATTTGGCTCCAGCATCCATGCACCCCCACAGATAGGGGTATGTCTTACAGACTTTCCTAGCACAGTGCCAGAATCTTTCTCCTACTCCGTGACCTGACATACCAGCTGCAGGTGGTTGGCAGCTCCCCTCATCCCCTGCCTCCTGGTGTGCTGGTCCGCTGAGTGGGACATTCTGCTGGGCTGCATGTCCACCAGCTCTTCCCCGGGTATTGGGCTCCAAGGAACCTGCTTCCTGGCGGGTTTCCTGGCTGCAGCACAGGAGCTTTGGCCTCTTCCCCACCATGAGCCCCAACACGCAGATGCGTCTCCTGCACGGGACCAGTCCACAGTTTTGTCTTATTCATTGGAAAAGAAGAAATATGAGAGAACTGAGCCACTTGTAAATGAAGTTATGCAAAGCTACAGTCAGTTCTGTTTGCCAAAGCTTGATGATTTGAAAAATTTCTTTGCATATTTCTTCCAGCCTGTATCAAATATTCTGGAATGTCATCTGTTTCTTCAAACATCTTTTTGGTCCTCTTTTGTAACTGGATAAATATATCTGAGGACTACTGTTTTAGTGGACTTTCACTTTTATATTGATTGTTGTTATTTTTCAGACAAGAAAAATAAGCATTTCATTTGTTGTTCCATAACCATTTCCACTGGTGTACCTTCTTAAATTTTTGCTTATTTCAGGTCTGGCTTAGCTATATTTCGTCAGGCAAAGCTGCCACCAAAGCTTGATGGGAGATTTGTCCAAGTAAAGGCTCTAGGATTTGACATGTATTATTCTGCTCTGTCTTTGCGCTGTTACTGTCTTTCATTTGATTTGGAACATAGATAATTATATTCTAGATTTAAAACAACAACCTTTTTTTTATATAAATAAAATATTTGTTTTACTATCCAATGCCTGGAAACACCTTCAAAGAGGTGATTTTAGTATCTTATAATTTTCTGTACACCATAAATGGTTACTTGGAATGTGCTTCTAGTTGTCTGCCCTAAAAGGAAAAAAATACTGACCAAAAGAATTTAAAGTGCTTAAGAGTTTTAACCACAAAGGATACACAGAGAGGCTAGAATGGCACATGGTGCTGAGCCTGTCAGATTCTTAAAATACCAACAATTTGGTGGTCTATAATCCTGTCACTCTTTTCATGTATCTGAAAAAAAATGCTTAACATCCTTGTTAATTGAAACTAGAGCTTTCAGGCAAGAGATTTGATTTTTCCAGTATCAATGTTATAAAATCATGGAGGATTTAGTGTAAGAGCATAGGGTTCTACTTTCTAAAAACCTACTGAAGCTTCATAAAAAGATTTTGCAATACAATTTACTAAGAAAGGTTCTCTTGTGTATCATGTTATCCGCAATTTCTCTTTTCCCTTTTTATTGTTAAAGAACTTTCTTTACAAGCTTTGTGTTTTAAAATCCATGTGTTCCTTTTTCTTCCTAGCCATGAGAATTAATCCTTTCTTTGTGATTTCATTCCATTGAACATTTTATGATGTCACAAGAGATCAGATTCAGGGAAAACCTGAGAACTGATAGAAATTAGTGCTCTGGATTTCACAGGATTGAGCCCACTGAAAGAATTACAGTCATGTTGAAGCATGATTTTCTAGCAAAAGCCAATGAGGTTTAAATGTAGAGTCGTCCAAAAATCTATGAAGCATAAAGATGAATATTTCAAAATAAAATATTTTCCAACATTTTCTGTGAAGGGTCAGCTATACAATTCCAAAAAAAATAATTATTCTTGTTTTAAAATCTAAGAATAGAAAGATTTTAAACCAGAAATGATGGTACAAATAGCACATAATCTACAGTGTGTGAACCTAAAGACATCCTAAAATGAACTGTAGCTGTGTCATTGTTATCATAATCATCTTACAATTATTTATTCCAATACATTTATTCAGGGTTGTCTAGTTGTCTTCACCCTTTTCTTATCTATGTCTTACAAGCAAAAATTATATAGAGGTGATCTGGACCAATGAAGCAGTAAATTGCAAAACCTCATGAGTCTTATTTATTGAGCCACACATGGTTTGTGTTGGAGTTTAGGTTTGGGGGTGCTTGTTTGGTTTTTTTTGGTTTTTTTTTTTTTTTTTTTTTGCGAGAAATAAAGTTTTCCTCTCCTCAGAAGCAACAATAGTGACAGCAGAGAAGGATCAAGATATTTTGAACTGCAGTAGATGAGTTAGTCAGCCTGCCAGAGCCTTCAATACAATCAGATTATTCAGTTCATAGGTTCTTTCACTGAATAAATGGACATGTGCTTCTGTCAGCAGAAGACCAGATGAGGGGAAACCACCTTTAGCATTTTCTGCTATATAGCATGTGCTTACAGATGTCCTTATCCAGTTGAGGATAAGTATCTTGAGAATTCATAGTGTTCATGTTGAGTCTATTTGATCTTGAGAATAAGGTCGGACCTTCATTTTACTGGGGTGTATGTATACTCTTGAAAAATTTTCTCCATCTGACAGCAGCAAGGTGTACAGGAGAATGAAAGTGGGTGTCCTTCCACTAAAGAAGGAGGACACCCTTGGGTTAGGACAAGGTATTCATGTGTAATGGGAAAGATAGGATCTTAGAAGGCTCCATTGACCTTCATCATTAAAATGAGAAGAGGACCAAATCAAAAATATGACACTTCTATCATATTGGAGTCTGACCATGGATTCCTATATGCAGACTTGTATCTGGGAAAAGAGCTGAGAAATTAGGGATTTCACAAATGGGATAATTTGGTGTTGTGTTTTTATTTGATGATTGGTACATTTTAAATTCCATACAAAACAACCCGCGTGCACTGTGATATGATATCCCTGTGACTTCTGCTCTCGAACTGGATGGAATTGATTATTTCCTTCTCTATCATATTCTATCTTCATTTCTAGACTAATCAGCTTTTAGAAAAGGTACAGTCTTGTAACAGTGTTCATAAGCTCTTGTCACGTATCATATATTACATAAAGTCTCCTAGGTATTCTTTGATTTCCAGGTTTTCCAAACATCTCTCTCTCAGATACTTTTTGAATGATTATTTCCTTCAGCTTGCGTTTTTCCAGAGTGAATCTCATTTTGGGTTATGTCCAAAGCCCATTGAGGTCAGAAGAATGTCTCCTATTGACTTCAGTGGGCTTTGGATTTGTTCCTTTATTTCCTATTTTCAGGAGCCAAATTCTGCACACCTTATGGTTTTAATGGGAATTTTGTATAAGCAAGGCAAGCAGTGTTGGCTTCCATAGTCTGATATTTTCAGACTTCTTTGCAATGTATTTCACTCTTTTCACTAGCATTTGTAATGGTACAATGTCATTTACAAGTGTAAGTGCTATTTATCTATCGCCATGGGTAGCCAATGGAAATCTTTAGTAATACTAAATGAACTCTGTTGTGTCTTGTGCCACCTCTTTCCAGACTTGGTATATGTTCTTCCATTACCTTTTGTTTCAATCTTTTAATTGCTTTGCAGTTCATCAGGTTTTGTAAGGGTTTGGGAAAATATGAATCATTTGTGGGTAAAGTTTTGAAAGGCACTGTAATCAGATACAAAGTCCAGTTACAGGTTATATTCTGCATTCTCTTACCCAGATTCAGGAAAGTGCTTTAACATGTGCTCGAGTCTATCCCTGTTAAGAAATGCAAGTAGATTCTTAAACATAATTGTCTAAGTGGGACTCTGATCTCAATAAAAGTTAAGCAAAAGTTTATCTTCATTCCTGAATAGGGAGATCTTTTCAAATTGTGTCTTTTATATATTATCAGTTCTCTAAGATGCAAAATTCCAAACTATTCTAAAAAGACTATTCATCACTGCTTTATGGTTATCTCTGAAGTGATTGTGCTATTTATCTTACCCAGGATTTGCCATTTAAATTTAAAGCTGGAGCAAGTTTAGTGGAGGGCCACCAAGATAGTCGTGAGCTGAAGGATTTGCCTCAGGAGGAGAAGCTGAGGCTTGTTCAACATGGAGAAGATATGGATTTTGGGGACCTTGAAGGATGGAGCCAGGCTATTCACGGTGCTGTGTGATGGGATGACAAGAGATAGTGGACAGATGTTGAAACAAGACAAGGTCAAGCGGGACTTAAGGAAAAACCTTTTTACACTGCAGTCAGTCAACCATCAGAACAGAGAAGTTGTGCAGTTCTTGAAAGTTTTCAAGACCAAGCTGCATATGAATAAGTTGGTCATGTCTCATAGCTGACCCTGCTTTCAGCTGGAGGCTGGACTGAAAGAGCTTCAGGGATACTTTCCAACATGAATTATTCTGTGATCTTTTGATCCTATTCTTTTAATTTTTTTTCTATTGCTTATGGTTCTAGTATGTTCTTGGTCTCTCTTTGGGTTCATACTTTTTTTTGCTAATAACATATATTCAATTGTTTTTCTGAAAGGAGAAGTGAGAGATACTGAAAAGCAAGTACTAGAATTCCTTGGACTTCCATGGGACAAGTGCAAACCATATTTCTTCCTTTTGAATTTTTTTTATTTCTCATTACCTTCTCCTCTTAGCATACCACTTTAATTGTCAGTGGTTCATAAATTAGCTATATAATTCTTTTATAATCTGTGGATTTGTCTGTCCTCCTTCTGGTTTATATTTTTTTTCTAGCTGTTTTATTAAGTACTTGTTATAAATAAATGTACCAGAAAGATTCTGCTGCTCTAGTTGCTCAGGCATATTTTCCCTAGTTTTCTTGTTAAAGACTAATTTTTTCAATTATTCCTGTATTTTTTCATTTTTTTCTCTTTGATCTTTTGTCAATTTGAGTAATATTTTACAGAATCACAGATCAGAGAATGGTTGGAGTTAGAAGGGACCTCTGGAGGTCATCTGATCCCACCCCCTTCTTCAAGCAGGGCTGCTGGGAGAGAGTTGCCCAGATCCATCTCCAGATGGCTTTTGAATATGTTCACAGATGGAGACTCCAAACCTCTCTGAGAAACCTCTGCCATTGCTCAGTCACCCTCATAGGAAAAAGTGTTTCCTGATGTTCAGATGGAAACTTCCAGGTTTCAGTTGATGCCCATTGCCTCTTGTCCTATTCACTGGGCACCACCGAAAAGAGCATGGCTCCACCTTCTGTGCACCTTCCCTTCAGGTATTTATTCACACTAAGAACCTTCTTTTCTCCAGGTTATAGAGTCCCAGCTCTCTCAGCCTTTCATCATGTGAGGTGCTCTAGTCCCTTAATCATCTTAGTGGCCCTTTGCGGGACCCTCGCCAGGGTATCTCTATGTCTTGCCTTGTACTGGGGAGCCCAGAATTGGACACAGTGCAGCAGGTGTGGCCTTACTAGTGCTGAGAAGAGGGGAAGGATCACATTCCTTGACCTGCTCACAGCACTCCTCCTGATGTAGTCTGGGATAACTTTGGCCGCCTTTGCAGCAAGGGCACACTGCTGGCTCATGTTCAACTTGGTGTCCGTCAGGACTCCAGCTTCTTTTCTGCCAGGCTGCTTTCCAACTGGTCCTCTCCCAGCATTTTTTAGTGCATGGGGTTGCTTTAAGACGTTTTTATTTTGTATGTAACAGAGAGCCTGCAAGGGTAAAGACTGGCAGCTGAAGAAATCTGAAAACAGGTAGTTACTTAATACAATCTATTCATATGCCTGGAGCTTTAGCTGGGCTGTATGTAGAATTACAGATTGACTGAGCAGGTGAAGCCAATCTTTACAGATCATGGTTCAGTGGAGTTACTACAAAAAACTTTAAAATTGATATAAATTCCTCTATTACAATTAGGTTATTTTTTCGGTATTTTTCCTCATCTTTCAGCATAAGTTTTAGTTTCAGCCTGGATGTGTCTGGGGCAGGACACTTCTGTTTTGTTTTAGTATCCCCTACATGCATACAAACTTCTAGGATGTTTCAGGGACTGTTAATCAACAGGGACATACTCTACCCAGAAAATTTAATCTATGAAGAGATACTACTAAACAGATATTGTTTCTACACAAAAGATATTAAAAATTCCTCAAAGGTAGATTTTGTGGTGTTGTCAACTGATGGCATGCAATGGACAAACGGATTCTGATTTGGTCAGGGAATTAACTTGTTTGTTTCTCAAAAAAAAAAAAAAGATACTTTGTAAAAGAAAGTCATCCCAAGTGGGAACAAAAAAGACAAATTCTTTAACATCTTCAGGAAAAAAAAAGATTCAGTGTATTACTACTTCAAGTTGTTTGAATTGTAGTGTTTGGCTAAAATAAAGACATTCAATTAAACACTTGTAATTTTTTGTAATGTGAAAATTTGAACCTTTCTTTTCCAGAAATGTCTGATTGAAATATATCTACATTTTAGAAGTGTTTTCCACCTTCTCAAGGAAAGTTAAATTTAATTTAATTACTTTTAGGAAAGGATTCAATAGAAATGAATCCCTACTGGAGAGTTACTTGACACATTTTTAGCACTTTGTGCAATTAATTTAACTAAAATACCTCAGTATTCTTTCTATGAGAAAGAGAGTTATACAGTTTATTGACCTCATACAGTGTAAGGATAATTAGTTTGTATTTCTTAAGCAGTGTAATGGCAGAAAAGATCAATCCCCAAATGGAATTATAAAAAATACTGTGGTGGTCTAAAAGACACCAACTTTCAATGAAATTAAAAGGCATTGTCAGGAATACTCTGAATCACTGATATAAATTAATAGTTAGTTTCATTAAATCATTAAAATCTTCATAGACTTTGTTGTCTGGAGTTACATCAGGTGGCTGCTATGTGCAAAAATGTGTACACACCTTTTTTTGCTAACTTAGAAATAGATTTAATTTCGTCTGTCTCTTTACCAGTTAGTCTTTTGGGACTGTGAGATGCTTCTATACTTTGCCTCAAACAACTTCAGTTTTAACTATCCTGAATAATTTCAAGTCATCAGCAAAATGTATAAAGTTTCTGTTTACTCTGTGTTTGAGACCACTTAGGAGCACCCTGAACAGCAGAGATTCCAGCAGGGATCTTGTAACACCTTGTGAACAACCTTCTTCCCCTTTGACAACTGACCACTCATTCCTTCTTTTCTCTCCTACCTTCAAAAAAGGTAACAATGCTCAAGAGGACCATTCCTCTTGTGACATAGTAGCTTCTTTCTTTTAAAGACCTGTGAATTTTCCAAAAGCTTCATGGAAATCCAAGACATATGCACCAGACTATCCAAATGTAGAATTGCAACCCTGCAATTACCAGGTCATCTTGTCCACATGTTCTTTTAGACAAGCCTAGTACATTTTTGAGACATGACTTCCATCTGTAAATCTGCATTGATTCTTCCCCAGTTAAAATCTCTGTTACAACTGTAACTCCCATCATATTGCCATGCTAAGGTAGGCTTGTTAAAATATGTGGCCTTTGTCTTCTGAATTATTTGAATACCTACCCTTTGATTCCCCCAAGTAGTATTTTGCCTTTTTTTTTTTCATAAATGATATTGAGGGGACATTTTGTGGAAAAAGAAGGTAAGAGTGAACAAAATACCCTGTATTTTTCTGACTAAATATTACCAGTTCTTCATTAAAGAATGCTTATAAAGAAAACCAAATTCCAGGTTTATTTTATGGAAGAAAAAAGCCCCAAACCAAAACAAAAAATCCTTCAAGGTTAAGTTCCTGAATCTGTACTAATTAGTTACTAACCTGTAACTAATTAAATATGATTTTCTTTTTGAGCTCTCCAATATTTCTTTCTGTGTTTTGATTTTCGCATACATATGTAGGCAACTTTTATAGAAAGTGAATTAATCTAGGCTTTGGCTTTTGTTCAGCTATGTCTGGCATATACATATCTGAGATCTGTAATAGAAGAGACTGTTTTAGAGACATGCACATTCACATCAGTATCACATTTCTAAATTTCACAACAGTCTTCATTTTCAGGCCTTCATACTTTGTATGTGCAAGATTTCCCTGTTGTGTCAGTTGGCATTTCTGCCTGTGAAGCACTGAATAAAGCATTGGTAAATTCAGACAAAAATTGCCTGTGCTGTTGACAGTGTCTGCTGTTGAAAATGTAACAACAAGCGACTCAATTCTGATTTTCAGCGCTTTAAACTTACAGAAATGGTGTAACTGCCACCTGTTTCTAATTATTCCTGAAAAGCCAGTAAGAGGTAATATGAAGGGTCACTCAGGAGTACGATTCACAGTAACCTGGAAACTTTAGCTATTGATCTTTGACTGATGACATTCTCTTTGCTAAGCCTGATGTGTGCTGCCCAGACCACAGGTTGTTTGTAGTGTCTGTTGCATTGTGTCCTGTCCAAGGCACAAAATCACAGTGATGGGGGTTCAGAGAGGGTGAGGATATTCTTTTTCTTTGAAGTAGTACAAAATAAGGAAATAGAAGGGGCTTAAGGAAGTGCCTTTTTGGTATTGATAGCTTCTGTGAAAAATTGAAATCTCTACAGCTGATCAATGGCATCAGCAGTTACCAAATATCTGAGCTGATCGCTGCTACACTTTTATGACAAATGTTCAAAACTGGATGACATATTTAAATAGGTTCCTGAATCTATAATGATGATGAGTTGATAGATAGTGTGATGTTTAGCCAAGTTGTACCTCATAGCCATTCACTGAGATTTGTGGATATTGGTCACTGAGGTGTAACAAGTTTATTGAGACTAGGAAGACCAAACATGGATTTAAAAGTTTAAAATTAGGATAATAACTGTGCTAGTATTTTGGCCCTATTTCCTAGAAATTTTTCTTTTTCATCTTAAAAAACACCCACAAAGAGTAAAGCAATTTTTAAACATCTTGGCTGCTAGTTACAGCATCTTAGAATCATAGAATGGTTTAGGTTGGAAGGGACCTTAAAGCTCATCTAGTTCCAAACCCCCTGCCACCTTCCACTATACCAATTTGCTCTAAGGCCTATTCAACATGGCCTCGAACACTTCCAGGGATGGGGTATCCACAGCTTCTCTGGGCAGCCTATTCCTGTGTTTCGCTACCCTCTGGGTAAAGAATGTCTTCCTTATATCTAATCTAAATCTCTCCTCTATTAGTTTAAAACCATCCCCCCATGTCTATCACTGTCTGTGTAAAAAGTTGCTCTCCCTACTTTTTACAAGACCCCTTTATGTACTAGAAGGCCACAATGAATTCTCCCTGGAGCCTTCCCTTCTCCAGGCTGAACAACTCCAACTCTCGCAGCCTGTCTCGGTAGGAAAGGTGCTTCAGCCTTCTGATCACTTTTGTGGCCCTTCTCTGGACTCGCTCTAACTCACTTTATGTCTTTCTTGTGCTGAGGACCCCAGAGCTGGACACAGTGCTCCAGGTGGGGTCTCACAAGGGCAGAGTAGAGGGGCAAAACCACCTCCCTTGATCTGCTGGCCATGCTGCTTTTGATGCAGCCCAGGAGTTACAGAATCCTTGAAAAGTTTAGTATTGGTAGACTAAAAAAATTGGTCAAGGTTTCTTAAAGACACATAGAGCTGAAGAAAAATCCTACTAAAATGAAAGGCAGGTTTATTGCTTTGCCACACTTGTGGGTATGAGGCAGTGAGACAGAAAAGCTCTATAGAAGCTGGATGCAAAATGAGCAGTTTCAGTATGATTGTGTTTTATTTTATGTTGCCAAATAAATACATCTATAAGTGTGTATAAAATCCCTCACCCAACTGATTCTTGAGGAGTCTTGATCACTCGTAGCTTCCTGGCTTACTGCATTAATGCTAGTATTTAATATGGATTCTTTTCTATTTCACTCAACTGTGTTCTCGCCTTTTCTTAAGTAAATCTCACTCATCCTACCTCCATTTCTCAATGATGTGTTTATTTTCACAGTTCTCTCAATCATCTCTTGCACAGGCAAGCTCACTGACCATTTTTCAGTAACTTTTGAGACCCAAATGTACTTTTCTTCACATGATCAGCTGGTAATTTGAAATCTAGGTCTCTTTGTCCTCTTGTTTCCTGGCAGCTTTTTCCAGAGACTATCATGGGGCAGCCTGTCATCCTCGAGTGCTTCATGCAATAAGTTGATCTCTACAGAATTCAGATAACTGTTGTCTTTAGGAATCTTCTTTATTGAATGCCCATTGTGCAGTGTTGTATGCTCACCTTAAGGTATATTTACTCAGTGTGTCACATGAGCATCTGCAGAGCAGATAACAGCAATTTGTGGAACTTGGATCCTGGGCTGCAAACAACTCTTTCATAATACAAGCTGCCTCATCCCTCGTGCTCAAGAAAAAGGAGGAAGCATTGAAACATACAACGAAAATGAACTGATAACTTTACTATAGCTTAGTAATGTTGATTTCTTTTTTTTCTAATTAAAATGGAAAGTTCTTCAAACAGTAGAATAAAGATTTATATTTTTATTATCAGGGATAGTATTTACACCTACAGCTCCTAAAGATAACCATTTCCTCTCTTAAAATGCTTGTTTGGAAATCACTGCCAGGAGCAGGCATGAATTCTCCCCTTCCTATATTCACTGTTGCACTAGGGAATTCTGTGCTGCCTCTGACATAGCAGACACCTGGCACTGCTGGTACTCAGGTATGATGAATTATGTCTCAGACCTGATGTTTCTCTGTTAGTTTTACAGTAGGGCATATAATTTTTTCTAAAGTATAAACCCTAATGAAACTTTTATATAAAGAAAGCTCTCAAAGGGTCATAAGCTTAATGTCCCTTCATCCTTTTTACAGGAAGAAAAATGACTAAAACTTGAAGTCAGACTCTGACATGCTTGAATACCATATGCCTGCACTATTGAGAGACTGGAGCAGAGTATCTGGAGAAAGATGAGAGAGTGTGGGTGGCAATAGAAAAAACAACCACGACTGTAAGTTAGCAGGATAATATCCTTACTTTCTTCTGTGGGTCTCAAGAGTGATTAAAAAAACATTGGTGTTTTAAAAATATTGCTGAGGACTACAGTGTGACTCATAATGCTTCAGAGAATGGAATTCTTGGAAGTTTCACTGTAATGCCAGATTTTAGAATGGAGGGCAGCAGAGCTGCAGAGAAGTAACATGAGGCTATGTTGACGGAGAAAACATCTCTGAGGAAATGCAGGCGAGAGGGAAAGAAAGGAAAGAGAATGGGCCTGGGGAGATATGACAAGACAATTATTTATACTGAGAACTGTTGCTTGCACTGATGGGAGTGTTTCACTGCTTTTTGAGGTTTTATTGGCCAGCACGCCTGCCTACACAAGTCTTGGTCATATGCACAGCAGGGAGAGATAAGTAACCATGTTGACCAGTTAGACAATGAAAGGAGTTACACACAGGTCCAAAAGCCCAAAGCCCATCCTAGAGCTGGACCTGAAAGTTTTGAGTAAAACTTTCCTTTTTTTTTTGTTTGTTTGTTTGTTTATTTGGGTTTTTTTGTTGTTTTGTTTTTAAAGTTTGGCTTGGTTTTGTTTGCTTGGGTTTTTTTGTTGGGTTTTCTTTTTTTTTTTTTTTTGGTGGGGTTTTGTTTGGAGTTTGTGTGAATTTCTGGTAAATTCAGCTGTTTTGCGAGGGAATGTATTGGCTAAATGTTGGGAAGCTTTCTCAAGTCAGAATAGACTTTCTGGTCAGAATAAAATAAAGAAGAATCATGATCACCTGGAATTAAACAGTAGCCTCACAGTTATGGCATGTACCTGATATTTTGCTTGATACTGTAACACAACTGAGTTATATCCTGAGTAAGTAGCTTTGCTAGGAAAGTGAGCAGTCTTCCTCCCACCATCTCCCACAAGTGCTGATCAGTACTTCTTCCCCTAAAGTTCCAAGAAAACAGTTTGTGTATTTCACATTGTCCAGGATATGAATTTTCCAGGTTCAGATCCATGGACATGGGCTGGTCTTGTACCAGAACATCCTCCTTTAAGTGAGTATCCTAACTGTCTGGCAGCTGAGGTAGGATTGATTTCTCTCTATTGCTTACAGGGTGAAAAAGTATTGTTTATGCTGGAAGCCTCAGTGCTGAAATCTAGGCTTTATTATTATTATTTTTAAGAGCATTATTAGTATCTAGGTTTCTCCTATAAACTATATTTTATGCATATTATTAATTAAAACGTTGGTTCAGAGTTCTGAAAATGTGTTGATGGCTTAAATGTGGATAATGCTGCTGTCTAGATAGACACTTTGTATATCTTTTAAACATTTAATGATTATTCATCTGATAATTTACATCTGAGAAATGCCATGATATTTTGTATTTCCTCTCTAAAAAAAAAAAAGTCGTATAACCAGCAGGGGAGAAAATATGACACCATTTGTGTAAGTGATGGTTATATACCACAGTTAAATAAATATCCTAAGTGAACAATTAGTTGATATATTCTTGACTGAAATTTGTTCATGTAATTTAATCGATGAAGTGTGTGGCTAAAGAATATATTAACAGATCATAACCAGTTCCTGAACAATTCATGAATGGGAAGAAAGACTACAGAACAAGGAATATGAATAATGTGTATTTTATTTCCCTTGCATAACAGGAAAATGTAGATTTTCGAGTTGGCCAAAATGGAAAATGAAACTTTAAAATTTTTTATTTTATGTTTTGTTTTGTTTTTTTTTCTGGAAAATTAAATCTAGTTGTATTTAGAAATGAAACATCTTAAATGAAAAGTGTGATCTGTTATGAAAATGAGCATAGGGTTTTTTGTTTCTATTTTTAATGCTTTTATGTTATATTGAATTCTTGCTGAAATAATTTTGCAGTTTTCAGAGGGACAACACAGATTTTAACCAGATTGAAATGCCAACATGGGTGGATAAAAAATTCAATCAAAAATTTGTCCAGCTTTCCTGGGCTTATGATCTACCAGTTCCTTCATTTCCCAAAGCAGTGAACAGAGAAATGTTTATTTGTTATGGGGTTATTGTGACTAGTTTTCTCTCATCCAGTAGATTTCATAGTAAGTGTACACAGCCAGGCTGTTATGATCTCAGAGTCAGCAGTAAAATCTGCAATGCATGATGATAGTAGGTTCTCAAATAAACAAAACTTTGGACAAAATGAAAAAATGCACCAAAAATTTGAGTAAACAACTGCAAGACAATCTGCATCTTCTCAATTTGTGTAGGAGATAAGTCAGAGCTGGGAAACATTTTCTGATATGCCCATTAATGGATACACAACTCATCCAATCACTCAGGAGCTAATACTGCACTTTTCTGTTCTGTGCATAAAAAATGTCATGCCAAATGACTCTGAGTGGTATCCATAATGATGAATTTACAGCCATCAGTAAGGAGCCTTCTTCGATTGTCTGCATTAAAGCAGCAGATGATGATGATCCCATCCAGTGATGCTTTTCCTTGGCCTTATTAAAAAGAGCAGCATACAAGGCAATCATACCCTTGGGTGTCTTTTGACTTGCTCAAAAGTATGGCTTAAGTGTTGATTTCTTTTCCAAAAAACCCCAAATTCCATTTTGCAATGATGAGACATCCATGCCTAAAAACGAATGACTTGGGCATTACAATGAATGCCCTGATTGGTCACCTGGTATTAAAAATAGTACCGGGTTTCACAGACAATATTTACCTGGGCACGTCTGTCAACTGTCGGTGCTGTGCATGGGAAATAGATAACCATCTCCCTCTTTTCACTGTCCCACAGTTTGGGCCTTATCCCATGCATTTGTAATACACTGCTGCAGTCTCTCCCGGAGACACCATAGGCTCAGTGGCTTCTTCCCCATTGTCTGGCCCATGAGCCACTGTCTTACTGCATTGAGCAAGAGAAGCTTGACAGATCTAGAAAGGAATTGTGAGTCAGCAGGCGTGTTCAGTGACTCCAAAGACAAAATAAAATCTGATATGCCTTTTTGTCAAGTCTCTTTTCCAGGGATTAGATTTGTTAACCAGATAAAAAAATTCCAGGGTGAGTTCATAGTAACACAGAATATGTGGTAAGAGACAAAGGAGGTCTTTCCAGTTTCTGGCAGTGTCTGCAGGAAGGACTAATATACATCTCTCTGATAGGTTCCTATCCAACTTTAGAAAACACAGATGCATTTCTATGGTACATACCAATTTGTTTCAATTCTACTGGCAAATCATTACAGAGTTCCTCCAAACCTGTCTTTGTGTTCATGAGAATGCAGTTGAAGACTTTAAGGTTCAGCCAGTAAAAAAAAAAGCAGAAACAAAAAGCAAGATCCATGATATTTCTTCCTCAATCTGCTCTTTTTTTTTAACTTTCTGTTCCTCCCAATAGATAATTTCTGGAAATTATTTTGACTGAATGAATGCAGTGAAGACATCTCATGGGAATAGGAGAGGTCTTACAGGTCAGTTTTGGGGAACAGTTCCAAATTTTTCTGTTGGTTTTGCTTACCAGACCTTTGCTCTAATCAGGTAGATAGAACTATTGACTCAGTTTGATGTTGTGGTAGATTATTTTGTATCAGAGATACATCACAACTGAAACACCTGTAGGTCTGCATGAACATCAAAAAGACTAGAGCTCAGCATAATCATTCCAGTGGTATGCCTTCTAGAGAAGGCAATATACAGTGAAAAGGAAAGATTAAATGAAATAGAGAGAACAAGACAACTGAGGTCTGCATTTTCTGTTTCCCTGGAACTGTTCATTATTCACTGACATACGTGCAGTGGATGTGTTCCACTTTTGAGTGAGAAGAAATAGAAATGAACTTGTTAATTTGTTTAAATGTTTGTATAATTATCACTTTTTGAATTAACTATTTTATTCTATAAAATACATAACTCCCTGCCTCTCCCTTTTCAGTGTTCCAAAACCACTTTGGGCTAATTTGATCGCTGCCATTGTATGCATGTGTCTGTGTGGCACAGTATGTTCTCTGTGTGCATGTGCTGCAAATCCAGTTGACAGCAGCCTTGTGCCCTATTCTTTTCTGATTGTCCTTCATCGCAAATGGAAAGTGAACAAGTAACTTAATTTTTTTCTTGCATTGAATTGTGCAACTTCCAGAACTTCTTCAGCTCAGTCAGTTTTTTTTTTTAGGGTCACTTCCATTATAACAATTCTTGAAAGTCAAAATATATACCTTTAAATTTTATTCAAAACATAATAAAACATATTTTTTTCATAAACATATATTTTAAAATTTATCCTGAGGTTACTAAATGATTTTTTATTCTTAGAAATTATTTCTACTCTCAGGTTTTTGGTGTTAATGATATCTTTGGCATAATCATGCTTGTGAAGTTATATGAACTCAAAGAAAGCTCTGAAAGATGTTTCGATACTTAAAGTCAGGTTCTGTGCTATGACACCTCATTTAAATTCCACATTGTGGTACATGATTTGAGGACTTCTACCTGATAACCTGTAGTGATTAAATAACTATGCAGATTTTTTTCTACTGCAGACAATACCTGACTGACTCTTCAGGCAAAAAAAAATCAAGACACACCAAGAAAATAGAAATATGACCCTAAAAATCCAGCCTGGGATGCCTTAGAATGGATGTGAAAGTCCAGGCAAATGAAGGCTGCTCAAGCACTAGTTGCTTTATAAACCTAAGAGGGTGAGAGGGAAAAGATGGGCAGAAAATATCAAAGGCTTTACTGTGGTTCTTAACCTCATTGCTAAGGATTTCAGTAAATTTTAAATCTGTTTAAAGTTTTTTATAGTGCCCATTACTCTATAACGGATAATGAAATGCCCTTCTTCCAGGGACCATGTACCAGTTCATTCTTGGAGTCTTCAGTAAAAAATGCAGTTCTTGGATATCTTTATCAGAGATTCTGGGATCGCCTCTGTGTTGGGGTAATTCTGGGCACTGGGGGAGTGACATGCAGGAGGTTGAGCTACCTTGCCCCATATGGCCATGTCCTAAATGTCCTTTTAAGATGGAGGATATTTATTACTTGGAAGGGAATGGAAGCAAATGCTTCCATAAGAAAAGTCAGGATGGATCTACTAACTTGCAAAAGAGAGAGGAAACATCAGACAGACCTGATCTTCTAAGTTTGATGGGCACAGGAAGTCCATGGACCAGACTGAGGGATCCTTACTTTTGAGGGGGTAAGCATTATACCCTCAGAAGGGTTCTTATACAAAACATATTAGCTGAAGGATTTTAACCTTGTCCTGTATTGCATTTTCACACAGGGAGTACTGAATACTGTTTGCTGTTCTAGTTAAGATTTTTTGGCTGTTGATTGTTAGTGCATTTACCACTCTAAACCACTTCCAAAATCCCTGAAGAAGCAGGTGGAAGGCCAAGTAGATGAGAAAAATACATGAATTAGCCAATTAAGTGAAGGTCATAAATGAACCCCATTTCAAGAGGCATCATCAAACATTTGTTTGAAAAGAGAAATTTGCGAAGAAGGAAGCAGGTGTCAAATTTCTTTTGGCAGCTGGATGCTGAAAAGCAATTAGAATGAAAAGCTACCTGATCTAAAGCTCAAGACACCAGGAGGATGTGCCTTAACAAGTGGAAGGAAAAACATATCGATGGGGTTTACAACTCTCATGCTGTAGGGAGGGTGCAGAGCAGTGCTGACATGCCTAAATTCTGGCAGGATATAGGACACTGGCACTGCCAGTGAGGAGGAACTTGAGAGTGATTTTTGGGCTCTGTATTCAAACAGATGTCTGTCTTCCGCAGCATGCTGTAGGAAAAGAGAGGTTTTGAACCATTAGAAAAGCAAAGGAAGTGCAATAGCCCAGATTTTTATCATAATTACACCCAGGTGGTTCTGAAGTGACTACACCCGTGTCATTGAAGTTACACCAGAGCAAAACTTGTGTGAGAACTGAATCGAGCTCTTTGTTTGCTTGCATTTGTGTACCAAAAGAGTACTCTAACAGCTCTTAGTAAATAATAAATTAATAATGATATTATGATCTCCCTTATGACTGGAAGAAGTACAGAAAAATTAGTATCAGAGTAAGAATTTGCTTGCAAGATTCTTTGACTGTGTCATTTCTACATTGGTATTGAATATAGGGTGCCTTGCTGGACTAATTTTAATTTCTGCACCAATTAAAATTTTTATTTCAAACATCAGAAACATCCAGTGTAGTCAGACAGCATGTGGTGAACGATACAAACCCTAAAGCATATAGTTCATTGATCAAATGAGTAAGACCTCTGTTTTTTGCATTGTAAAATACCTTTAAATCCCCAGCAGAAAGTAGTAATGAAAACAACTAATGAAGGCATGTACTTTTTCTGTCTCCCTGCTGTAAAGCAAATAATATTTTAGTAGTTGGTTTCGTTTGTGTTTCCCCATTTGTGCCTCAGAATACACCAGATTGCAATGTTACATCACATTTTTAATGACTGGAACCATGTCCTGAGATCCCCCTTCGACCACACCACAACTTCCTTCTTTTTTTTCTCCTCCTGGCTAGAGGACTGTATGTAATTATGATGAGGACATAATTCAATTAATTATTGACAGACACGTAATCACCACTCAGATCTTTCTCTGATAAATATCTTCCTGCTCTCTGACTTCTGTTTGTCGTGCACTAGGGACGTGGAAAGGCACTAAAAATGTGTTTTAAAGATAGGACGTTTCTCAATCCTTTGTATCAGCCAGAGAGGCTTCTGCCGCCCTGGGCTCTTTAGATCTACAGCGTATTGTTCTCGTCTGTGCTAAACAAGTATCCCCGAGAAAGCTCAGTGGGATGGAGGCTTATGGTTCATTTTAAGTGAAGGATATAATAGGAGCAGATAACTTTGATTTGTGCAAAGGAAAAGTGTGATCTCTTTCAGGGATTCCAGGAATTCATAGCAATTTTTTCTTCTGTTAGTGATTAAAGAGAAAGTGATAAATAAGAGCTCTGTGTTCGGTTTAAAGGAGGAATGTAGCTTTAGAAAGCTGACTTATTTAGGAAAAAAAAAAGAAAAAAATCCTGACCTCAGATAGCCTTTGACCAAAATCTGCTAGTAGTACAGAGTAAAGACGAGGCTGTTTCTGTTACTATTAAAGCCCACGTGAGGACAGTGATCACAGAAGTCCGTATGACCGTAAAATGTCCTGGGGGTCGGGCTGGGGTGGGGACGTGCCAGGGGTTTGCCCGTAACTTCGGATTACAACTAAAGCGTGCCAAAAGCGGATAAGGGAAAGAGATAACGAGGTGAGAAAGCAAAGAATGGCTTTATTGTAAAGTGAGGAAAACTAAGCTCTAGGAAAAAAAAAAGAAAAAGAGTAATCGCGTACACAGAGGCTTCCCTTGTAGCCGACAGGAGACCCGCTGCTCCTCTGCCTTTGGTTTTGGAGGCACGACGTGCGTGGGGCTGGGAAAGGCGCTGAGGGGGCAGGGTCAGGGCCGCGCTGGGAGCCGTGGGCAGCGGGGCAGGGCCAGGTTTGTTGGTGCTGGGGAGTCTGGCCCCAGGGAAGAGCACTCGTTCGTCCCTCGTAGGGTGCCTGGAGGAAGCCGAGGCTGGTGAGCCCGTGCACCAGGCGGGAGGCACTGGCTGTGCTGGCAGCGGCTCAGGCACTGACTCCTTTGCCGCGCCTGGGCGGGCGCTGCCCGCGCCGGGAGGAGCGGGGGGATGCCCTGCCGCACCCTGCGCTGCTTGGGCTGCCGCCGAGGCTTCCCTCCGCTCCGGAGGGACCTGTCCTTGGCGCCCAGCGCTGAGCCAGGGGAAGCAAGCCCACCTCAAGGTGGGCTCTCGTCCCACCGCCCCAACATCAACCGGAGACGCCCGAGTCGGGCGGAACTGGTGCAGCCCCGAGGCCAGTGCCGGGGGTACCGCCCTTGAGGGCAGCGGGAAGGTGAAGGGGCTGAATAGGTTTTAGAGGCCATCAGAGCAGGCGCGATGACCAGGCGTGTCGGGAAGCCCGAAACGGGCACCTGACCCGGATCTTTTGACACCTCAACAGAGCGGCCCGATTTGCAGGGGCGCTGCGCTCCCGCCGCTCTCACCCAGGGCGGGGGCTTTGGGGGAAAGGGGCAGAGGAGTGGGGTCGGAGCGTCTGGTTTCTCTGTGAGGGACCATCCGGTGCTGCTCGTCTTATGAGAGGCGGCGGGATCGGTTACGCATGCTGGTCTAAACCGTGAATGTTGAGGGACGGGAACACTGAGGGTCCAGAGGAACATTGTCACGGTCAAGACAGGGGCTATTACGCCCTAACAAACAGCTTTCCGCAGGTTTAGTTTAGTATTGCGGCCGCGACTCGGTGCCCAGCTGCGGAGAGCGGCGTCCCCGGCTTGCGCTACCTCCGGGCCGTGCACCCCTCTCCAAAACTTAGGGGCTTAACAGCTCGGGCGCCTCGTCCCGCTGCTGTGAAGAACAAGGAGGCGTTCGGAGGCGCTATGGGAGGTCCTTAAAGACCCGCTGTTCCTGGGCGGCTTTGCACAGCTCCTGCAGAGGCTGCGGGATGCTCTCCACGCCCGGTCTCACCTTTCGGGCTCCGAGGGAGCAAAGTCCTTCACTCCTCACCCTTTGGAGCGTTGCTGCCGGCCCCCGGGGAGGGGGCTGAGCCTCACACGGCCGGGCTGGGGGCTGCCCTCCTGCCCTCGACCCGCAGCCCCGCCTCGCCGCAGGTGCGGGTCGCGCTGCCCCCGGCCGGGCTCCGGTCTGGCACTCCCTGCGTACCCGAGACGGGGCGTCCTCGGCGGGGCGGCTCTGCAGCCCAGGACGGCTTTCCCCTGCCTGTGCTTTTGGCCGGGACTCACTTGCCTGCACGGCGCCGGTCAGCCCTACACCTTCGCCCTCCCGGAGGCGGCTGGCCGGGGTCACAGACGCAGCGCGCGGTCCTCCTGGTCGGTCTCCTCCCCCAGGAGCCCCGGAGGTTTTCATTTCCCTTTGGGGACACCCAGTACTCTCACTATCAGCCGGGTCGCGGGCGGTGCGCGCTCCTGCCACCGCCCAGCGAGGGCTCGCCGCCCCCGGGCCCCCAGCAGCGCATCCTGCAGCTTCTCCTGCCCCTCCTCGGCTGCGGGGAGGGTGTTGTGAGATAGGCAAGAGTGAAAGTCAACGCAGCGGTCTGAAGACAGGGAAAGGCAGTCAAGGTTAGACGTGTATTTACTCAACTTTTATTATTTAAAAAAATTCATAAAAAAAAGGAAGGTGAACGAACGTCTTACAAAACCCCCCCACATAAATAGGACATTCCGTCCAGCTCTGGCTATTGGCAGTTCTAGTATTTGACAACATCAGACGCGATTTCCTGGCATTAGAGAAACCCATTTCAAAATCGGTCATCACAAAGAAATACTAGAAATCCCAGTTAGCACTTGCTAGGCAGCATGGAGCACTTGTACACAACTTTTCAGACACACACCCGCGCACACACGCAGCTGGGAACAGATCCCGTAGGAAGAGAGCCTCCTTAAAAAATAGTAAACGCTTTTCAAAAAAAAAAAAAAAGGAAAAAGAGAGAGTTATTTACAAAACGCACATGGAAATACAGTATTGACAGAGCGTGGCTGGCAAATCAACATGATTTGAATAGAGAAAGGACTATGGCACATCTTGCTCGAAAGCTCGCACAGCAGCCTCCTTCGAGTGTCCCCGCGGGAAGACAGCTCCTGCCATCCGCGACGCAGTGCCTTCTCCCTCCCCACCTCTCCTCCCGCCCTCCCTCGCCTCTCCACCCCTGCGCTTCTTGCCAGGTCCTTT